GAACCTATGACCCAACAATCACCCCTTAGTCTGTATGATGCGGTCAGCTTGAACATACAGTCAGGGTGGACACACTTGATCTTGTACCTTTCCGGGTTTACACGATCCACCTTATAATCAACCGAGTTGAGCATGTGAAATTTTTTGATGGCCCTTATGCATTCCTCTCTGTTACGAAACTTGTCCTTCTCTTTTAAATTTTCATCCGACTGCATATACGGTTGGAAAAACAAGTCCGTAGAAGGTTCATCTCCGCCCATGTTGAAGTTTGTCATGTGCGTAGGTGGTGTGTAGATTTTGTCAGCAGGAATACTTGGGATGCCATCATCGTCAGAATCGTCGTTCACCATTTCATCAAACTCTAACTCGTTATCTTCTTCTTCATCATCAACTGCATCCACCTCATCTTGTTCATTCTCCAAAGGATCAACCTCCTGTGTCACCGGAGGCTCTACCTCCTGTGTCACCGGAGGCTCTTGAAGCAAAACGTACAACTCAATAGAGTCGTTTCCAGAATAGACATGGCTGGAAATCATGTTCTGGAAATCCTCGTCATCTTGAACTTCAACCTTATAAAAAATAACTTGGTTGTTTCCAAAAAAGACTGGACTCTGATAAAATATCTGGGATACCGGGCCTCGTTCAAGTTTGGCCTCCAATCTTTTCTTAAAGTGCGAGAAATTTGCTTTCCCGTTTAAGAGAAATCGAACGTTGTCGGTGTTTCTAAACAAAAACCCAACTGTGGGACACATGTATGTCTCACCGTTGAAATGTGCTTTGACAACAAATTGTGGTGAAGAGGACATTGTGTAGAATTGTTTTAAGGTTTGAAGGTTGGAATGTTTTAGGTTTATTGATTGTATGAAGGTATGAATGCTGGAATGTTTGAAGGTTTGATGACTGATTCGAAGGTTGGAAAATTTTACAGATTATGTGAATGAATGTTATGTTCAACGTAAGGCAAAAAATTTCAATTAAGTAAGGGATGCAACCCCCCAAGGCTGCCAATAATATTACATGCAATAATGAAACCCCATAGCCTGCCACCTATCCTGGCCCTATTCTGCATGCAACAAAGAAAGGAATCCCAAAGGCTGTCACGTAGCCTGAGCCAATGCTGTAAGAAGTGACACCTCTTATTCGCCAAATGGGGTGGCGACACCATTCATTTTTGTACTCTTTCGCCAAGTGAGATGGCGCCTCCCTTACTGTCCAATCGTGATACATGCATGGGCTTATGAAGCCACCTAGCCTGCCACCTATCCTGGCCCTATTCTGCACACATAAATGTTTTGTGTAAGACTCCACCCATCAACTCCAATGGCCTTGCATGCAACAAAGAAAGGAATCCCAAAGGCTGTCACGTAGCCTGAGCCAATGTTGTAAGAAGTGACACCTTTTATTCGCCAAATGGGGTGGCAACACCATTCATTTTTGTACTCTTTCGCCAAGTGAGATGGCGCCTCCCTTACTGTCCAATCGTGATACATGCATGGGCTTATGAAGCCACCTAGCCTGCCACCTATCATGGCCTTATTCTGCACACATAAATATTTTGTGTAAGACTCCACCCATCAAATCCAATGGCCTTGCATGCAACAAAGAAAGGAATCCCAAAGGCTGTCACGTAGCCTGAGTCAATGCTGTAAGAAGTGACACCTCTTATTCTCCAAATGGGGTGGCGACACCATTCTTTTTTGTACTCTTTCGCCAAGTGAGATGGCGCCTCCCTTACTGTCCAATCGTGATACATGCATGGGCTTATGAAGCCACCTAGCCTGCCACCTATCCTGGCCCTATTCTGCACACATAAATGTTTTGTGTAAGACTCCACCCATCAACTCCAATGGCCTTGCATGCAACAAAGAAAGGAATCCCAAAGGCTGTCACGTAGCCTGAGCCAATGCTGTAAGAAGTGACACCTCTTATTCGCCAAATGGGGTGGCGACACCATTCTTTTTTGTACTCTTTCGCCAAGTGAGATGGCGCCTCCCTTACTGTCCAATCGTGATACATGCATGGGCTGCCACCTAGCCTGCAAGAGTGACACCTTACATTTTTTGTAAATGCATGCATGCATATGTGTAACACCCTAAGCATGCAAATGTGACACTTCGCAGTCATGCAAGCACAAGCAACCACTACATCAAACTTATTTGCCTATAAATACATACCTTATGAAACATCTCTCACACCCACACAACTCTCACTCTCTTCTACGAAATATTTCTTAAGTCTATCATACTCTCTATTTCTTCCTAAGTCTTTCATACTCACAAGCATTCTGAACAATGGCTCTTCTAACAATGGGCGATACTCATAGAGGCACAAGGGAAAACATTGCTGCATTTGTAAGTCTCTTCTTTGGTTATACATTTTTCATACTTCAAATAACGTGTTGTTCATCTTAATTAATCTTACACTTGTTTAATTATGATCTCAGGATACAAAAAGATTCAGAATCCGTTCGCACAACTACCTGGCTCCCGACCCATTTATCGTCCCTTATCTGGAATATGCAGGTTTTGGACATTTATAAATATTCTGCTCTTTCCAAAATATATGCTAAAAATAACATGTTTCTCATTTCCTTTAGGTACTGCGTGAGGGGTATGGATTACGGAAAGAATCCAAGATTCAATGTCGCACTCTACCGGAATCTGTTGGATCACTTAGGCCCAGATGACATACGTCGTAGCTTTTCACTGTTGTTCATTTTAATTATTTATACATTACTTTTGCGCTAACCTGATTTAAATTTTATCGCAGTTCGTCTGGAGACCATATTTGGGTTTGGGCCATTCTCCAAACCTAGAGGATGCAGCAACTTGGACTGCAAAGACTGCACTCATTCGGTTCAACATTATGGAGATGCACCACAGCGACCGTGTGGAGATGCAGTTCGGAATGCATCAAGAGATACCAAGTGATCCAACAGATTTGTCCCCCTGGCATCTAAAAAGGGTCGACGCCCAGTGGGGTCTTACCAACTGGAAAGACTTTGCTCCGGAATGGTGTAAAATGTGGCAAAGGCGTCACCGCTACATCTTGCAATCCCCAGTTTTCCTTACTCAAGGTAACATGCGACACACTGATCAATATATGTCGTGGTACAGGTCGGTTAGTAACCCAGAAATGCACGTGTATCATCCGAGGTACTTGGTTGACCCACGCACACAATGGGCACAACCCTCGATTCCCCATCAACAAACCCAAAATCCATCAACCTCAAACCAACCCCCAAGAAGAAACAGACCAACAAACACACAACCACATTCCCCACCACAACACAACTACAATCAAATGCCGTACTACCAACCACAATCACCACCAAACTACCAATACCCGGATATGCCTCAAACCCAACCACAATACCAACCCCAATACCAGCACACCCACATACCCCAGACACAATTTCAGTCTTCCACATATCCCAATATGGCGCCCTCAACATCCAGCCTTAGCCCTGATATGGGAATGTCAGAAGATTATGACCAAGCCGACCAAACCTACCATCAACCACCATATCACCAAACAACCCAACATCCACAATACCAAACACCCCAAGATCCATTTCCTTTCTACCCCCCATACTCAGACGACCAATGCTACCGACCAACCATGGAACCCCACCCACCGCCAACACGACCAAACTTTGAGGGTATGGGTAACCGACTGTACCAGAGCGGATCTTCGAGATATGGAGATCTTACTGATTTTATGGATTCGGATCGCATTGACTTCGCTGGGCCATCGACCTTGCCGCAGTAGGAAACGCGACGGCACCCAGCAAGATAAAGGCGAGGACGGGGATGCGGAACCGGGGGTCATTACCGGGTTCCGGGGGATCACTGATGTATCTTTTTTTTTTCCCAGTATTTTTTGTATCCATTTTTTTACTGTTCTTTTAATGTAAAACAGTTGAATGTAATTATTTTTTTTTAAATAAAAAATCCATTTTGTTGATCTCTGTCCAATAGGCAACGCACAGGAAAGAAAATAAAAAAAAATATTTTTTGCCCTAATTTTGTACATAGGCGCCATCATGCCCTAAGTACTTAGGCGCCAAGTGAGATGACGCCTCCCTTAAAAAAGGAGGTGCATGCGCCAATTGAGATGGCTCCTCCTTTGTAGAGCCATCTCAAACATGGTTATTTGCGTAATTTTTTCCGAAACCCGATTATTTACGAAATATTTTTTTAATACATGGTTATTAATAAAAAAAATTCCATAATTGTTGTTTTGATTGCTTTCAGCAGTTTTTATAGAGTGTGTTTGGTTAATGATATAGTTGTGTGATATCATAACAAGGTCATTTATATTTTTATTTTGTATGTTTATCGACACCAATCGAAATAGAGTGGTGCTTATTCTCTTACAATTTTGGTCGGTAGTGCACTCACAATATTATTATTATTATTATTATTATTATTATTATTATTATTATTATTATTATTATTATTATTATTATTATTATTATTATTATTATTATTATTATTATATAGCATTAAATGAGATAAATTAGTGCTAAATTATATTCGTAACCAATCTAAACAACTAATAAAATCCAAATGTGAGATGAGCTTAAAAGAGAGAAATTAGTGCTAAATTTTCAAAGAGGTTAAAAGAAAGAGAACAATACTAATTTTGCAAACAGGTTAAAAGAGAGAGAATAATGCTAAATTTGCCTGGGGTTTGGATTCAGTAATAAGTGCAGCGTTTTGAGATCTTGGAAGCAAGCTTAAATCCCCTTAGTTTCAGGGGAGAGTATTACGAATGTAATATATTGAGTTAAATTAGAAAAGTAATTATGCAAGAGATAGTGTGTTATCTGATAACAAGTATTTATTTATTATAAGATAACAAATACTCCATTAACAATCCTACTAGTTTTCATAAGTATTTATTTATTATAAGATGACAAATACTCCATTAACAATCATACTAGTTTTCATAAATATACATTTTTTATAACACAAGAAATTCATATATTTATAATTTTAAGGTGCTGCTCGTGCTCGGACTAGTTGTAGTGACACCGGTTCTCCAAGCACTGATCCGGCCGCAAGTGGTGGTCTTAAATACGCACAACTTAATACTCCCATGAAAACGGCTCCGAGTCCGACTCCCGTGACCCATGTTGGAATAGACTTAGGAGAGTTCCGGTTGGTGTTGTTGGTCTCGTCAAAAACATCCTGGTATGGTGCAGAAGCAAAAGTACCTATTGAAAATAAAGTAAAACACATTTTCACTTGAAGCTATAACGGAATAAGAAAGAAGAAAAAAAAGAAGAAGAAGAATTAGTTACCTGGAGGTGGAGGTGGGAGAGAAGCGAGAGCTACCGAAACAACCAAAAGCATGGCGACTATTGTGGAAAAACGATTTGCTGCCATGGCTGGAAACCGAGAGTATTGAAAACATTTCATTAACAGACGGCTAAACTGTAAATATAAAAAGCAATGCAAGTGCAACAGTAAATATAACGACAACGACAAGTTGATGATGATTTTTGGATGTCATGCCGTTGATGGATTTAATGCAAAAAACTTTGAATTTTAGCGACAGATACACAAGATTGTAAACTACAATCTAAACAAGAAAAATATTCTTCAATTTTGCAAATCACTTACCAGACAACAAATTCTTAAAACTTTCTGATGAAGCGGTTTATAAGCTTTAGGGAAGAAAGGAGAAAGAGTGCCTCGAAATCTACTTGTAGTGTATTGATATGGAGATGATTGAGTTGTGTCATCTCATTTATATATTTGCAACCAATCTGAACAACTTATAAAATCCAAATGTGAGAATAGCTTAAAACACAGAAATTATGGCTTAAAAGAGAAAGAGAAAGAGTAATGCGTGTGAACATATCTAGTTAAATGATATATAGAAGAAATTATATCATGTCGGGACTAGATGTTATAAAGAAGCGTAGTACGTAAAGTTATTAGCAACGCACATTGATGTATAGAAGACAAGAGTAGATGTGTTGTTTGTGACTTTCTATTTATAGTGTGCCATGGAATAAGATTTTACATACTCATATTCTATAATAATTGAAGTTATATTAAATACAAAATATTTTGCTTGAATATTAAACCCTTTTCCATCTTAGTATTAATATACAAAACTTTTTTATTTTTTATTTTCATTCTCAAAACTCAAATTTTAAAAAGTTTTTTATCTTTCCCATATTTTCTTATTACTTTTTAATCATTCTTTGTTTTGGTAATTAATAGTAATTACAGTTTAAATATATAAAGGATTTCATATCAATTAAATACGAAATATCACATCGTTCATGTTAGATGTTTAATTCTTGTTCTGTCGAAATATTTGTGTGGTGTATGTCGAATAGCTTTTGTATAGGTTGTAAGCTGTATTCGACAAAGTCGAATACATCATATATTGCAGTCTGTCGAAATCATGTTTTGTGCTTTACCATTTTGTCTAATTGGGCTTGGACATTGTTTGCCTATATAAAATATTGTTGAGTTTGTGAATATACACAGTGAGAAATATATCATATAACAAACTCTTAATTTATTCTCTTCCATAAATCATCTTTCTTGAAACTCTTTGTTCCAACAAATTGGTATCAGAGTCTGGTTGCGATTCAGAGAGAATCTAATGACAAACGGAACAACAACATCAACACAGTTTCCAGCGAATCTACCAGTTTTCAAAGGTGAAAACTATCAGCGGTGGATTGCACAGATGAAAGTTATTTTCAGATTTCAAGATATTGTTGAAATCTTGAATGATTGAGTATCAAAACTAGAAGCAGATGCGACGGATGCCCAGAAAACTGCACACAAAGATCAGAGGAAGAAAGATGGCAAAACATTGTTCTTGATTCACCAGTGTGTGGATTTTGATATATTCGAGAAAATTAATGAAGTAGAAACAACAAAAGGAGCTTGGAAAAAGCTAAAAACCTTGTATGGTGGAGATGAGAAATTGAAGAAGGTGAAGTTGCAGACACTAAGGAAGCAATACAAGATGCTTTAGATGAAAGAAGATGAATCAATCTCTACATATTTCTCAAGAGTTGTGACGTTAACAAACCAGATCTCACTACGCCAAAAACTGCTTTTTGCAGCGCCTCTACTAAAGCGCTTATTGAAAAAACGCTGCCATAGCCTTCACAAAAAACAAAATTAAAAAAAAGGGAAACCTACGAAGGCGCTTTTTTAAAAGCGCTGGCATAGGTGGGGGATACGAAAGCGCTTTTTACATTAAAAGCGCTGTGGTAGGTCAAATAAAAATATTAATAAAAACGAAATAATAGGGTTATGAAGGCGCTTTTTAAAAAGCGCTGTGGAAGATTGGCCTTTGAAAGCGCTTTCAAAAGCGCTGGCATAGGGTCTGATGCTACTAAAGCACTTTTAAAAAAATAGATTGGATTATAATCCAAAGCCCATTATCAGAAAAAAGCGTTGAACTCAAGCTGGCGGAGGTAGTTGTCGTTGTCGGTCTCCAGAAACCGTTGAACTCCGAGAGCGCATCACTGTTCAAGCATCCTCACTCTCTCACGTTTTCTCTCTTTCGATCTCAACCTTCATTTTCGTTTTCTTCTTCCAATCAAGTAAGTTCATCAAATTCTTCTCTCTTCGTATATTATTTACGCTTTTGTGACAGTTTCAACCTTCGTGTTGCTCTAATAATCGAACCCCGTTTTTAGGTTCTTTTAGAAGTTTTGATTTTTGGGGATTTTGGGGAATGTGCATTTCTCTGTTGTTTATGTGTTGAAAACTATAGGATGCATTTTTGTACCTAATTGTGTTGCCTTTAAGGTGTTTGATAATTGTCCTGAGTGGTGTTATGTGAATTTTTGTCTGAGTAGACTGAACTTTGAGTCATTTGAGTCATTTTCACGTTGATTAAGTGGAAGTGATTAAGTGTAACCGGGTGTGTCGGTACCATCGTGGGGCTGGTTGTCAATGCATTTCAGACACTAGACACGTCTTCATTGTGAAATATCGTTGCTACATTGTTTGCTACTATCATGTCACTTAAGTTAGTAGTTTTAATTGAAATTTTAATACTCTGTTCATGTCTATTTGAGAGATGCAATGGACCTTTAAGAATAGTATATATTGGTTTGTAGAAATATTTAGTTTTGAATCAAAAGGATCGCTTATTCACATTTCCATCCTTTATAAATTTTAAAATAATTCAGTTTTGATTATTTATTCTCTGTTCAGTAGTTTTTAGTATAGTGACTAAGATCTAAAATGCTATTAAGTAATAAACTAATACTAGTGTTTGCCTTAAATATCAAATTCATTAGCGTGTACCTTCTTCTCCTGCTTCTAAATTTAAACAAGTTTATTTTGGTTTTGGTTTTCGCAAAGAGGAAGCTTATGAAGCAAAGCTGAAATATTTGGAAACATACCTAGTTTTTGACAACGTTGGAGTTGAGTTATTTTGGCAGTTGGTGTTTTAAATTGGATCTGTAAAAAATACTTAGAAAAGAAAGGATGTTGTTGTGGCACTTATAATCAAATCTACTTTCTACATGAGCAAGAAGGCAAAAATAGTACTATCTAGTTAATAGACAATTTCATATATTCAAAGGAGCTACTACTCTACATTCTATAATTTTAAAGAATTGTAGAACGGCACGATGACCTGTTAATTGTAATTAATCAGCCAAAATAAATTAGTTAAGAATGCATCTCTTGCTTTGATTTTTAAGAGATGTCCACATTACTCTAATGAGTATTTGAATATTTGCTGCAAATTAAATGATACTATCATCAAGGCACAGCCAATTAACTAGGGACAAAACAGTTTTGGTCTTGACTCGTGTGTGCTAGAGCTGAGTGAGGTGGTTGACCAATACTGAGTCTGTGACTATAAAACCCAGCTCAATCTGTATGCGTGGCTGTAGAAGAATATGAGAAGTGGTCTCTGTCAAATGGGATTTAGGTTCTAGATTTGCACTTTTTCCAATTTTCTTTGTTCCCACTCATGGCAGTATTGATAGCATTGAAACGAGCACGTCTCAGGGATTCATCAAACATCAATGAAAATCTTAAACACAATGAACCATGCAACACATTAGTTAGCGTGTAGATGTTAGAATTTAGGACTATAGGACTATACCAAAAATATCTGACGGGATTTTTCCGTTGCTAAATCTTCCGGTTGCTTCTCCTCCGATGAAATCTTTACCGTAAGGTTTGAAATCCGACTTCACTATTGTTTGAATATAATTGTTATTACCTGTATCCAAGACTGAATCACTAGTATCCGACTTCACTAGTTAGTAATTAGTTATGAGTTGTTTAGCACATGCTTAAGGTGAGGCAAGAATAACTATGAATTTGATTACCTGATATGTTGAATTTCTTTACAGGTAATTAATTATTATTTTGCTATAGTTGCGTGACTAATTAGTTGCTATAGTCAAACCATGGATAAAAAATGGATGACTGCCAATCGATTGTCGAAAGAGTATGAGGATGGGGTATCAGAATTCGTTAAGTTTGCCGTTGCGCACGCCAGAGAACCCAATGGAATGATATGTCCTTGCTTGAGATGCTGTTATGGGAGACGGGTTGACGCGGTTCAGTTGGAATCGCATTTACTGATGCATGGAATTGATAGAAGTTATGCATGTTGGAATTTGCATGGTGAGAAAAGTAGCGGGAATGTTGAATCGAGTTATAATACGACGTATGCTTCAAATGAGGATTTCGCAGACGCATACGATTATGATCGAGTCGAAGAGATTGCAGAAGCGCTTGAAGAAGATCTTGAGGATTGTCCCAAAATGTTCGAGAGGTTGGTAAGCGATGCAGAGAAACCGTTGTATGATGGTTGTACAAAATTCACAAGATTGTCTACGGTGTTAAAGTTGTACAACTTAAAGGCGGACAACGGATGGTCGGATAAAAGTTTCACACAGTTATTAGCCCTCGTGAAAGAAATGCTACCAGAGGATAATGTTCTTCCCAATCGAACGTATGAGGCCAAAAAGATGTTGTCCTCTATTGGCATGAGCTATGAAAAGATACATGCATGTCCAAAAGATTGCGTTTTATTTCGAAACGAGTACGCAGTGTTAAATGAGTGTCCTAAATGCGGTGCCCCTCGATATAAGGAAAAGTTGTCTCCGGAAAAGGTGTTATGGTATTTTCCTATAATTCCGAGATTTAGGCGCATGTATCGTAGTGAGACCGATTCAAGACACTTGACTTGGCATGCAGATGAAAGAATTATTGATGGGAAGTTGCGACATCCGGCAGACTCACCACAGTGGACGAAAGTTGATATTGATTATCCTGAATTTGGAAAAGAAGCAAGAAATCTTCGCTTGTCGTTGTCTACTGATGGAATGAACCCGCATGGTATTCAAAGTATCTTGCATAGCACCTGGCCTGTGATTCTTATGATATATAACCTACCTCCGTGGCTATGTATGAAGCGTAAGTACATGATGCTATCTATGTTAATTTCTGGGCCCAAACAACCAGGGAATGACATAGACGTGTACTTGGCACCCTTAGTCGAAGATTTGAAGTTTTTGTGGGAGACCGGTGTGGAGGTTTACGATGGGTATAGGAAAGAAAGTTTCAACTTGAGGGCGATGTTGTTTGGAACAATTAATGATTTTCCGGCGTACGGAAATCTATCAGGGTACATCATTAAGGGTCAAAAAGCGTGTCCTGTTTGTGAAGATGAAACCGATACGATGCGATTGAACTTTTGTCAGAAGAATGTTTTTCTCGGTCATCGTAGATTCTTAAATTCTAATCATCACTATCGTGGGTGGAGAAAGGCATTCAATGGAGAGGCAGAACACGGTAGAGCTCCACATATGTTGACAGGTGATCAGATTTTTGAAAAGGTGAAAGATGTGAGTACTGAGTTTGGCAAGCCTTTTGCACATAGACTTGTCACGAGTGGGTGGAAGAAGAGGTCGATTTTTTTTGAACTTCCATATTGGAAGTCGTTGTACGTAAGACATTTCCTCGATGTTATGCATATTGAAAAAAATGTATTTGATAGTGTTATTGGTACGTTACTCAATATACAAGGAAAGTCTAAGGATGGCATTAACATAAGGAAGGACATGTTAAACATGGGAATTAGAACTGAATTGGCACCCGTGACGAAAGGAAGACGCACATATCTACCACCTGCTGTTTACACTCTATCTAGAAAGGAGAAGAAAATATTGTGTAAGTTCCTCAGTGAAGTTAAAGTTCCAGAAGGCTACTCATCAGATATTAGAAGACTTGTGTCAATGAAAGACCTAAAGTTAAAGAGTTTAAAGACTCATGATTGCCATGTTATAATGGAACATTTTCTACCAATAGGTATACGTTCTATTCTGCCAGAAAAAGTAAGGAGCGCAATAACTAAGTTGTGTTTTTTCTTCAAGTCAATTTGCAGCAAGGTGATCGATCCTGCGATCTTACCAACATTGCAAAAAGAGGTGGTTGTTACTTTATGTGAGCTTGAAATGTATTTTCCTCCCTCGTTTTTTGACATAATGGTTCATCTAGTCGTTCATCTTGTCAAAGAGACACAGTTGTGCGGACCAGCTTATATGAGATGGATGTACCCTGCTGAACGTTATATGAAAATTTTAAAAGGGTACGTGAAAAACCGAAGTCGACCGGAGGGTTGTATTGCGGAACGATACATTGTTGAAGAAGCGGTTGAGTTTTGCACTGAATATCTGTCAAATGTTCAATCAATTGGACTCCCCAAATCTCATATTGTCGAGAAAAAAGAAGGAAAAAGACTAATTGGAAATAAAGTTGTGACAGTGTCAATGGTCGAACGGGATCAGGTGCATTTGTATGTTCTGCACAATGAGATTGAGGTTGAGCCGTATGCTGAAATGCACAAGGGTGTTCTTCGAGGTTTAAATCTGAATAGAAATGAGAATTGGATAGTACGAGAGCACAATCGAAGTTTCATACCGTGGTTTAAGGAACAAATTTATTCAAAGTATCGTTCGGATCTTGCTTCAGTAACAGAAAGGTTGAGATGTTTAGCATATGGTCCAAGTATGATTGTGTTTTCTTATAGCGCATACGCAATTAATGGATACACATTTTATACCAAAGAACAGGATGATAAAAGTACTATGCAGAATAGTGGTGTTACCTTGGTAGCTGAAGCGATGCACATATCAAGTGCGAATGACTTAAACCCGAAATTTGCAAATCTGTCATATTTTGGGGTTATCGAGCGCATTTTGTTGTTTGATTACGGGAAGTTTCAGATTCCTGTATTTGATTGCAAGTGGGTTGAAAATAATAATGGCGTACGAATGGATAAGTCAGGATTTTTGCAAGTGGATCTCAATAGGGTGGGGTACAAAGATGAACCTTTTATTCTAGCCTCTCAGGCTAAACAAGTGTTCTATGTCAATGATCCGACAAGTACGAAATGGTCTATAGTGCTTTTGTCTAACAAAGTAATTGATGAAAACATTGGAGATCAAGGTGATATTGGCGTTGGCATTGAATCTTGTACAAGAAACGATCAAAATGAGAATGAACCTTGTACTAGAGATGATCATAATGAGGGTATTTGGATCAATCCAACCATCCGAGTTGTTAACAGAAGCGTAAAATATATTGCTACCAAGAAAAGAAAGAGACGTTAGTGAAAAAGGTATTATTATAATTATAGCCCAATATTGTAAGTAATATGTGAATAATGTTTTGAATTTTTGGCATATCTTTTGAACCGTTTTGAATTT